AAATTGACCAGGTCACAAAATAAAAAGCCTTGAGAATAGAAGGGAGGCGAGTGAACAAGAGAAAGGTGGCTGAGTAGTGAAGGGGGGGGGGGACAAGCTGTGGCAAGGTAAGGGGCAGGGAGCTATGACTGAAGTATAACATGTACATTTATGAAAATACCAAAATAAAATCTATGATTACACAAATTAACATATGCTGATAAAACATTAGAAAAGTTATTCTTATAACTGAAGCAGTAAAAAGGGGCTCTGTAGAAGTCTCTCATAGCAGGCTTGATGTGTGTGAAATCAAACTCTTAAAAATGAACATTTACCTGACCACTTGCCTGTGATAGTAGCCTCACCACCTGACATCGGCCATATTAGATTCCATGACTGCTAAGCAAAAGCCACGAGAAAAAGCTATTCTCTCCACAGAGCCTCAGAAAGCCACGCTGACTGATTCCAGGGGAAGGAGCCTGCCACGTTGCACTAAGCGCTGGGCATTTTGCTTCCTGCACGTTTTGCTGATGTTCATCCAGTGTACAAAGTCATCTGGCTAGAGATTAATTACGATTTATATTGGGTTTCACATATATGATGCAGAGAACAAATTACTAAGATTGAGTCTCATTTTTCTAGTTTATTAGCTGTGTGACCTTAGCAAATCTGAACTTCTCTGGGCCCCATTTTATCATAAAAATGGATATAAGAATAATATCAGACCTCTTACTCCCAAGCATGAGATAAAATATGTGTTTCTCTGAAATTACTAGCCTTGCCAATTTTTTATTCTGAATGAGGTCATATTTATTTTGAAGCTAAGATTATAATGACTTAGAGATATTCCCTGCCTAAATGAAAAATGATCCTCTCTCAAAGATCATGCCAATTACTTTTCAAGAGTCTAGAACAGGGACTTATCGGCTGATGTCATTCTGGCGTCCACTGGCTGCCACCACACACTGTCCTGCTGACCCGTCCCTGCTGGGACACAGAGCCCCAACCCCACATCTACGGAAGGTGACTGTGAAAAGGTTTTGTCAGGTGTGGAGTTCACAGATGTGTGTGAAGCTGCTGTCAGGAGCAGGAGCCGAGCTGTCTCAGTCCTAGACAGGGAAAGGGCCCTCCCCTGTGCCAGATTGAACTCATAGACAGCGGACCTGGGGCAGTCTCTCATGGGCCACCCAGGCTCTGAAAGAACATTTCGAGTCATCCTTCCCTTCCCACAGGGATCAAGCCAGTTCGAAGAGCTTTTGGAGATGTGGCACGCTGTGATTCCTTCCAGCCATTGTCATCTGTCTCCCGCCCTCTGTGTCAAACAACGTGTCTGAAGGGTTTGCAGACTTCCGACACCGTGTAGAGAGCAGCAGAGGCACGGCTGGAGATAGACCCTGCTGAGGACCACGAGGTAGGCGGGAACAGCTCCCAAGGCCCATTGGGCTACGTTGATTGAAAGGCCTGTTTATGTGTGGATTACTCATTTATTAATGCTCTTAGTCAGGCAGCTTTTTAAATGAGACTTGTAGAGTGGAATCAAGAAATAAATAACATTGTTTCCCTCAAAGAAGTTCCCACGTTGATGTTATGGTATATCCCATTCTTCCGAACTACAGAAGATCCCATCTCCCATTTGCTTCCTTTCTGCATCGTATTATTTCGTAGTAAATAGTTCTATGTGATCAATCCTAGCACTTGGCTCTCTTGTCTCCACCCTTATTCCGTCATAGAACCCTGCAGCAGAGGCAAGAGTAATGCTCCATCCTCCACCTTCTCTATCTAGACCCCTGCCTCTTCCTTCCCCTTTCCTTCTCTCCCTCCCTCTCTCCCCACTCTATGTTTGGATGAGTACATGTAACCATACAGGTACACATGTGCACGTGTGTGTGTGTGTGTGTGTGTGTGTGTGTGTGTGTGTATGTGTGTGTGTGAATGCCAAAGGTCAATGTCAGAAGCCATTCCTCAGACTGGGTCCACCTCATGCTTTTAGACAGGGTCTCTGACTGAGAGATGGCCGACTTGCTAGACTGCTGCGCTGTGATCCCTGAGGACCTGCTGTGTCTGCCTCCCTGTGTGAGGATCCTAAGTGCTCCACCATCAGACCTTTTCTTCCTGGTTTTTGGGATCAAAGTCAGGTCCCTATGTTTGCGTAGCCAGCACTTAACTGACTGGGCCATCACGATGCCCTGCGTTCTCCTTTTCTGACAGGGTTAGAGGATGAACGATGAATGAGAGCTTGGATTCTTCTTATAATGAACCTTGAAAACCATGTTTTATTTTTATAATTATTTTAGATACACAAATTGCTGAGGTAGTCAAAACCACAACCCAAACCAAAATAACACCAACACTAAGCTTCCTAGCTGATTGCCATGTACGGTCAGTTAGTATAACAGTGCTTTTAGGACTGTGGAGCCGACAGTCAACATTATAAGACCTGACTGATAAGTCCTCAGACTCTGCTGTCTTCTCTGGAAGCCTCTTTACCCAGCTCCTGTTGCAAATGACGCTTTCTCAGACTGTCCCGGGTCCTGGTGATGACAGGAGGACAGTGCAGGTGAACTGCGTTAGAGTCCCCTCAGCTGGGATTCGGCCGATGTTTTTCTCACCACCGGATTAGGACTGGGAGAGGAAGGCCACAAGCTGAGGCATGGGTCCTTACTTTACCACAGGTCAGCATGACTTCTCACTGTTCCGATTGACCCTGATCTTGTGGATGAGTCTCTTGTTGCTTTTTTTCTTTTATTGAAAATAGTTCTTTTTTTTCTCACATAATATATTCTGATTATGGTTTCCTCTCCCTCTACTCTTGCCAGTTTCTTCCTACTTCCCCTCTGGACCCACTTCCTTTCTGCCTCTAATCATAAAACAAACTTCTAGTGGAATATAATATAATATAATGAGATAAAACAAAAGGTATTACATCAGAGTTTGACAAGGCAAAGAGAAGGAAAAGAACCCCAGAGAAGGCACAAGAAAGAGAACCACTAATTCACACACTCAGGACTCCCATAGAAACACTGAACTGGAAGCCATAATATAAACACAGAAGACCTGGTACCAACTCGTGCAGGCCCTGTGCATTATACTGCCTCAGTCTCTGTGAGTTCATATGAGCTTGGCTCATGTTCACTTAGAGGGCTTTGCTTTCTTGATGTCCTCCATCGCCTCCAATTCTTGTACTCTCTCTGTCTCCTCTTCTGTGGGGTTCCCTGTGCCCTGAGGGGAGGAGGGATTTGATGGAGACAGTGGACAAGGCTCTTTCGAAGGTTTCTCTTCCATAAAGCCTCTTTTCTTTCTTCTCTCGCCTTTCCACACTGTCTTGGAAAAGGAGGTCAGTGCACACAGAGCACACCTCAGGGGTTGCAGTACACTCTATTGCTGGACAACAAAGTCTCCTTACAAGTCACTTAGAACTCTTCTGTGTGGCCTTTTATCTATTCTTCCCATTTACTTATTGAATAATTTATTTACCGCTATATAGACTTACAGGCATTGACCTTAACTTTTGATATGCCAGTTTTATTTTCCCACAGAAATGTTCCTATCTTTGGCCGCTCAGAGCCCTTCAGGCACCTCCCCGGTCCCTTTGATCTGCCAAGGCACTGCCTGCGGTGGAGGAGTTAGATGGGAAGAAGACCAGCGTTCTGATGCTGTTTTTCTTGCTTTCTGGCAGGAGGTTTCAGAACCTCCTTGTATATGAACTGTCTAAAAGCAACTCTCAGCCTTGGTTCCTTTTATTAAGGAATAACTAATAACTAGTCTTCTGATTTCCCCTCTACTCCCGTCCATGCTTCCTCAGCTATGAATTGGTAATTTCTTGGGGGATAGTCTTTTCTGTGGATGGAGTGCTTCACACAGGAAGTGTCTTCAGGTAACTTACTCCTCTGCGTTCCTAGCACATCCAAGTGCCCCAGCTTTAGCATCTTCTCCTGTTAGCGATTGATCTTGCTGTAGCAGGCGACACGGACTCTTCCTTCATAGCTAATCCAGGGATGTGTGCCTCTTCCCTGGGCATTTCCAGACACTTTAGCTCCCCACTCAAAGCAGCCATAGACGAACTCATCCCTTCTCGTTTGAGTATTGGACAGAGTCCAGTGCAGGACCTTTTCTAATTTTACTGTCAAAAGAAAGCCTAGACGGCCTCTTCCTATTAGATGTTATGAGGGGTAAAGCAAAGCACCCCAGTCATTTCAGAGGTGTATGCTGAACTTCTGGACTTTGTATTGAAGTCTGTGTTCTGTGGCTTTAGCCGAGGAGCAAGAGCAGAGGGCACAGAAAGAACATCTAGCTACCTTCAATGGAACCTACACCGAAAAACTCTCACTGGTCTCTTGGTTTAGCACAGAACCTGGAGACCCTGCCTGCAATGCTCACAAAGCCTTCTGAAATGAATGATATTTCCCTTTCAATGTCACAGTTTCTTGTCTTTTCTGTTATTGCAAAACCACACTGAAAACAGGTCAAATCTCATCTTTAAATACTGAGTTTCACGAATAAGCATTTTTGATGTGGAGTATCTGAGTTGGGGGCTAACACGTGTTAGAGCGAGTGAGGGTTGACAGTGGAAAGGACGTGCTGGTGTCATGGAGCTTGGGAAGTGTTGCAGTATTCCAGGGAAGAGGCAACATGAGATGGCTGGAATGCACAGATGAAGAAGGGTTCTGAAAAGAGGGATTGAGACTGAGGCATGAGGAAGTGCACTCATCAGCCAGCACAGTACCTGAAGGGCCTAAGTAAAGAAGGAGTGTTACCAAAGGCTGGGAACTCAGGAGAAGGCTCGGGTGTGAGACCCCAGGTGTGAGGTGTGAGGAGCAGACGGAGGCACAGGCACGGTGAGAAGTGTGGACAGAGGCCGCATCAGGCCTTGAGCCCTGCTCTCAAAGGGAGAGGGTTGTCATTGCAAACGTATGAGACATGGCGAATCAGTTTGCAGGCATTTGCACTGAGTAGGACAACTCTTTCTCCATCATGAAGTTGCTCATTTTACAGAAAAAAGTTGGTTAATGCACAAAACTCACCGTTTCTGTTGTTCGTCTCAGGTGTACAGCTGCGGTGCTGATCTGGGCCAGAGCACGGTGACTTTTCAGGTGACGGCAGCGGTGTTGGTCTCCGT